GCAAATGAACAACTAAGCCGGTCATATCGTCTAGCTCGAGACACGAAAAACAAAGTTATTCTTGTTTTTCTCCTGTGTTTATGTTTTTTAGACTGCCAGCCTAGTTGTTCATTCGCTCGCATCGAACGCGGTTATTCATTCACGACGTAATATCACACGTACTCAGTCAAAACTCGCGCATACCCGCGCTTCATGATAATGCTTTTCGATCTTTGTGTTTTAAAAACGAGTCGTGCTCTCTCGCATCTTATTCTTTGTCTTTTCCCTTTCTTTTTCCAACTACAATTTCAAATTTCTTTTTTAAAAATGTTAATCGATAAAGAAAAGATAATACTGTTTCTTTATCGAAAATTTGGAGATATTAGATCATACGAAGAAGTAACTGATCTACACATTCAATGCTGCATATCCTGATCGCAATTTTATTTCTAAATCCACCGTTCAGAAGACAGTGATACTTTTTTACGAAATAGAAACAGTTAAAGACCAAAATCCTTTCAAGTCTCATAACTCTAAATATGCCTAATAAAAAAATACTTTATTATAGGTTTTTGGAAAGCCCTTGAAATAAGCTACAAGAATATGTAATAAAAAGTGGAGGGGGGGCCAATTTAAAAAATTCAATTTGACCTTCGTATGACCTTTGTCCTCCACCCAAAGTCAAATTTTTAGCCATCATTAGGTACATTTTATTAAGCCCTACAACTTGCTACTTACATATTTATTTTATTATTACTTACTATATTATTTACTTACATATATTACTTTGCTACTTACATATTTTTTGCTACAGTTGATCCTTTTCGATTTGACCGTTTCCGGACTTTTTGCCAATCCTGTATATATATATATTTTTTTTTTCTTTACAAGTAATGGCACAAAATGCAACGTGATCGATTCGGTTACAACTATCCATTACTGCTCAAAAACACAGTGAACATTTCGTTTTTCCACTATTTTCCTAGACACACATACACGTAGTACTACACGTACATACTAGTTCTTAATCGAGATAAAATTGTTTTCTATACAGGTATTAAATATAACGATCAATCCAGTTTGCATACCCAGAAAAATACATTCAAGTGATTGTATTCAGATAAATGTTACTTATTTCACATATTTCATAAATATATCCGCAATCTATCATAAGCTTATCATAAACATTAAATTTATTTAAAATATATTTGGAATCTTAATAAATTTAGCATTTCAATCAAGAATATTAATTTAAAACAAAAGAGATAAAGTCTATTTTTGGACGAATTATCGTCGAGGGGAACTCAGTAGATCATTAAAATTTGATTCGTCTTGAGTGGCCGATTAGGAGAGAAAGTTTCCCACACTTGAAGATCCTCTCGAACGTGAGAAATAAGAGTGACGCCCGCAGCTTATCGCGATGTTACGCGGACGATCGCGGCACAATTTCGGGGCGATTTTTCCGTTTTTCAGGGTATCGGCTACAACTTCGATTTCAAGCTGTCGTACAAGTTCCTGCGAAGAAGCGAGGCGCATCTCAGATACGGGAACAGCAGTATGTCCACATGGCGCGGCGAGTTGGTGAACGGCACGTATTGCGATCGCGTCCTCACCAAATGCGACACTAGGGCTTGCCGGCTGCAGTCGCCGAATTATCCCGGAGTTTACCCCAGGAATGTCACTTGCTACTATCGGGTGGAGCAAAACCGCGCGCCGGTGGGTCACCGAGCTCTGCTTGCCGTTAGTCAACGGAACAGTCACAAGATACACATTAAGGATCAGGTCGTGAAGTACGACAGAAGTCAGCGGGTGCTGAGGTATATTGATGATGTTTACGATGCAAAAGTTAACGAAGTTAAGACAGATAGGGATAGAGGACAGAGAGACAAGTCAGAGAGAGAGGGAGAAAGAGAGAAAAAGAGAGAGATAGAGAGAGAGACGTGTTTAGACTGTCTTGACTTACGTTATTTCTCTGTTGTGTATATTATTGTTAACTTTGATATTTTCTTTCACGAAACATTTTCCTTTTTTTACAATATAAAAATGAAAAATTAAGAATATAAAATAGGAAGATGGTAGGATCAATTTAATAAAACGTAACGAGGTAAACAGTAGACAGCGGCTTTGAGCTGTTTTCGACACTCTTACGCGAATTTTATCAAATATTAAAGCATGAATAAAAATTTATCAATTATTTATTAATTATTATCTTTATTATTTAATTTTTTCAATCCTTATACAGACATATAGGGGAAAAGTGGACAAGATAGAACATTTTTCAAGAAGTTCAAAAAAAGATTAAAATAATCTTTTCTCCAACAACAATTATAGATGTTTAGTTTGATTTGTTTCCTAAAAAGGTAGCAGAAAGAAAATTTAAATTAAAAAAATTTTTTAGGAATTAATGAAAAAAAGTAATATTAATATTGCCCAAAAAGTACGGGCGAGATGGAACATCAAATAAAAGTTATATAATTAATTAAAATATGAAATAAATATATATTTAATTAAAAAACAGTAAGTATAAAAACGGATAGCTTTAACATTTCAAAACGCACAAAATTATTTCATAAAATATAAATTATATACTTATTTAATATAACTTAGATTAAATTATTTAACATACTTACTTGTACAAGACTTGCTACTAGTTGATACTAGTTTTACATTAAGGAGATAAATAAAAAATTATATAGGGTACTTTAAATTATATAACTACAAATATTAATAATATAATTAAATGAAATTATTAGCGTTTTGAACGTTTCCTACAAATAAAACTTTACAAGAATTACAATTATACATTCTTGTATCGCAATATGAATTAATTTTATCTAGGACATTATTAAGACAAGATAAAAGATTACGTAGTGTTCCCTTTTGTCCTTTTTCATCATGTTTCATCTCGTTCGCAATGCTGCTTAATTGATGAATAACAAGTTTTCAGGTTAAAAACTTCCATATACAGGATGTTTTTAATATCAGTTACCACCCCCATTATTTCGGAAACGGTTCGAAATTCCGAAAAATCGCGAAACACGTGTTCAATCATTTCAGGGTGTTACTTTTTTAAGGAAGTGTGATAGTTATCCCCCTTAAGGAGGTACAAAGGGGTACCCAACTTAAAAATTTTGAATGAGACCCTCTATTTTTTATTGCGTATTCTTATAGCTTATCTCGAGAGCTTTTCAAAACATTATAATAAAGTATTTTTTTTTTTTATTAAGTACTTTTCGAGTTATGAGGTTTGAAAGTCAATAGCATGTGTCAATATGTGCGCACATGAACGGCACGACGCGACGAATGCCTCAAAGCTTGAATGGTCGGAATCCCTTCCAGTGTTAGTAATATCCTTTCCTACATACTGTTGCGTCTGCAATTTAGCATGACCACTTTGTCCAACGGAGTTGATAATTTGACTTTCAATTTGTAGTTTTTCCAAGTGCTACTTGCTCGTTGACTGCGTTGTTCATTGTAAAAAAATACTTTATTATAATGTTTTTAAAAGCTCTCGAGATAAGCTATAAGATTGTGCAATAAAAAATAGAGGGTTTCATTTAAAATTTTAAAGTTGGGTGTCTTCTTGTACCCCTTTGGGGGAACGGGGCGATCCCTCATCCCCTTAAAAAATAGCTTGCTATTTTTGAAATGATTGAACACGTGTTTAACGATTTTTCGGAATTTTGAACCGTTTCCGAAATAATGGGGGTGGTAAGTGACTTTAGAAACTTAGAAACAGACTTTAGAGGATTAGAAACAGTCTGTATATTCATTCACAAAGCTGGATTTCATAGTTAGATATTATTTTATATGATAAACAGACCAGTATATACTATGGCTGTTATAAGTGATAAATTATTAGGCTTAAATTATTTTTGAGTTTTAAAATTCACATCAGAATAGAGAGCAGAACGTTTCATAAAGAGTGTTCCAGGACAACGTCAGAAACTTTGGTGAAGGTATAGTATAGATTAAGGTAAACATAAAAGTCCTATATTATTTTGCAATATTCGCAATAATTATCGAGATATTAATTAAAGAATATCTGTGAATGATCACGTGAAATATAATAAATGAGTTGTAGTGGCAACATCTGCCGTCATGTGTTTGTACATTAAGTCAAATTGAACGAAAAAATCCTCTACCTTTTTCCTAATAACTTTAGATTTTTAGTTATTAATTAGAGAACATTAATACATTATTGCAAGCAACAATTCGTCAATTTTCTTTAATCAATAATTAAAAATCTATAAAGTTATTAAGTAAATGGTAAAGGTTTTTTTGTTCAGTTTGACCTAATATACGATAGCAGACTATGGTCACTTACAGCTCATCTACTATATCTCGCGTGATCCTTCATAAATCTTCTTTAATTAATATCTCGATAATTATTACGAATATCATAAAACGTATAGGACTTTCATGTTTATTTTAATTCGTACTATGCCTCCACAAGAGTTTTAAAGTTGTTCTGGGACACGAGTATAATTGCTGGTCGACAACAATGCACACTATATTATTGAAACATAATGAAGTAAGTAAGTAAGTATAAAAATAAGGTTGTAAGTATAAGGATATCGAGAACTATCTAACATGAAACATATGATTGTCACGTTATTATTGGATCAAAAATAATTTAGATATCCCTTCTTGCTCAATCTTCCCTTAATATTTGATAACATCCGCACAAGAATGCCAAAAATAAATCGAGTGCCAGCTGCAGGACGTTTCATCTTGGTGAGAAATAGCACGAGCGAAAGAAGCATAATGATAACGCGGTGAATGGATTCCCGGGTAAACTTTGCGTGCTTTTCAAGGGTGTGGGATCAGTGCAACGTCGTGCAAGATTACTTGACGGTATACGACGGGGGTTCAACCTCAGACCGAGTGCTCGTAAGGCTGTGCGGAGGAGATGCGGTGCCAGACATCGTCAGTAGTCACAATACGATGTTGTTAGAGTTTCATACATCCCCGTACGACAATCCGTTTCATCCAGTTCCATTATCTTTCCTGCCAGGATTCGAGCTCGAAGTTCAGGTAAATCTTGAATAACGTGTTACATCATGCCTTCTCGCGGGATCGAATCAGACATATTATTACAAATTAGTTATAAATCGTTTTTACATAAAGAAAAGAAACTGAAGTATTTAATCGTCGTTTCAACATCATTGATGGCCGGACGAATGGCAATTCGGAAATATCCGTCGAAACTCGCCTTCACCCTTTATACATTCCTGCACGCAGGTGATCTTCGTTGACGAGAAATCACGAAGTTTCGTGAAGGAGAACGACAACTGCGACTTTTATATATCCGGCGACGAGAACTCATCGGGCATCTTGGAAAACCCGAAGCACTCTTTGCCGCCGAACACGACCTGCCGCTATCACTTCCAGGGCAAGTTCAACGAAATCGTCTGGCTGTCATTCGTCAAGTACTACGCCGCCAGCGTGGAAGCTGCCGCGAACATCGACACTGCCGCCGATTGCAACGCGAAGCTCTTGATATGGGATGGCGATATCACGGTGGACAAGCTCGCCGCCGTTCGAAAGGTGAGTACTTTGCAAACGATTTTTGTTTTTCTTTCTTTTTTTTTAAATAGTAATCAGTGTTATATCTTCCTTTTGCAAAACACGAGGGTAGGATAGGAGATCAAGTAAAATTTGCCCAAATATCACGTTGGCCATGTATTACGTTTTTATCGTGAATTCCTTTTAAAACATAAGACAAAACATAAGTACATAGGAGCTATTAATATCTATCCAGATAGATTTAGTTAAGTATAGGATAGAATTATTTTTAAAAAATACCCAGGAGATAAATTTTTTCATTGGATTATCGGCTGTGCTCCAAACTGCATCGAAAAAAATTGTTCAAATCATATTGAAATCAAATGTACGTAAATTTGGCAACAACTTTGTTAGTCAATTTATGAAGATTGCACAAATCTTATGAGTGGTTTATGTGGCACTTATATTTATCGTATGGAATGACAAAATAAAAATACGGAAAGCGAAATACGAAAATACGAAAAAAAAATCCAAATTTACTTAAAACAATATTATGCGAATATGAAAATCTGAGTGCAATTGCTAACAAATTTGTTGTTGCATCAATGTAACAAAAAGTTTACATTACTGTGTGACATAAATTTAACAAACTATATAAATAAGACTTTAATGATTACAACCAAGTGAAAGAAAGAAGATCAATGAAAACCAGTATTTGTTGGTACGAATATTTAACTGTGGGAGGATAATGTTGGTGGAATGTCCTGTGTGTGGACTTCTTCATTTGCCAAACGGGACGCCGTACTAATTAGGCCACGAAAGGTCCAGGTCCGACTCCTGGCTGAGGCAGTATTTTTTTGCTACAGTAAAAGAATCGAGAATGAAGTGCATAATTAAAATAGTTTGTTAGAGATGGGATTAATTAACATTAATAACTTACGATGAAGGATTAGATGTGGAAGGTTGGTTCACCGTGCACGCTGCAAGTTCAGAAAAATTTTACGTATATTGTCATTGTCTTGGACATTATTATTCTCCCACAGTTTAATAATTAATTATACCAACAACCACAACTGGCTCCCATTGGCTTTTTTTCTCTTACTTGAATGTAAATTTAATGATTAATTCAATACAAGAGAGATTCAATATTCATATATAGTACCCATATATATACAGTACTCATACAGTACCCATTCAATTTGAGATAAATTAATTAATTACAGTATTCACATTCACTTATTCACATAAATATAATTAAACAAATTGTAGAGTTTCTATCACCAAATGTCTTATGTTATGATAATTATAAAAACCTATCTAACCTATGTACTAAAAGTATATAGCATCAGAATGTAATTAATTTTAATGATCAATTCAATGGAGTACATTTGCTTTATAAATTTAATTAAATCAATCACAAAATTTCCACCATCGCGTATCTTATGTCGTAATAATCATGAAAGCTAAATCCAAGTATGAAATTTAAGTCACGAAATCTAACTATATGAGAACAAATATAATAAAACTATATATATATATATATATATATATATATATATATATATATATATATATATATATTGCATTATAATATACAGGGTGGCCCACGTAAAGTGTTACAAGCTAATAACTCTAAACATATTTGTCCTATCAAAAAGTTGTTCATGAGAAAGTTTCATACATTTGAGGGGCCTTTCTAACTACATAAACAAAAATCCACTTCCGTCCCCCTTTGAAGAGGGGTGGGAAGTAACTTCAAAGTTTCACATGGGACCCCCTATACAATATTACATATTTGAATTCTACGGGAAAAAACAAGTAAATTTTGTCTGAAATATTTCTTTGGAAAATGTTCCTATCAAAAGTTATAAACAGTTAAACTTTAATGTAGAGTGCATTGAAATTAATGATAAATTAAATAAGACTCATAGTTTTGTTTTACTTTATTAAATGTTCAAATTGTTGACCATTAATATTTAAACACTTATTAATTCTTTTTACAAAATTTTGCCTAACTCTAAACAACATTTCTGGGGTCATCTTAGTGCAAGTTGTACGTATTCTTCGTTTTAAGTCTTCTTTGTCGTAAGTGATTGAAATGTGACTTCCTCTTTGATATACCGCCATAAAAAATAGTCCCAAGGTGTAAGATCAGGTAAACGAGGGAGCCATTGAACAGGACCCCGAAAAGCTAAAAGTTTAAATGTTTATAACTTTTGATAGGAGCATTTTCCAAAAAAATATTTCAGACAAAGTTTAATTGTTTTTCCCCGTAGAATCCAAATATGTAACAAAAAATTTTTTCAAGCAAAAGTTGTTTGCTTTTTTACGTAGAATAAAATCCCGTAATAAAAAATATGTATTTCTATTTAAAAAAGCAAAGTTGACCTTGTCCTGACCTTGGCGACGTCATCTTAGGTCAAATAACTATTGTCATTAAATGCGACTTTTTAAGCCTTACAACTTTTATTGGGAACATTTTTCTCTAAAATGCTCCCCCGCCGAGTTTTCTTGCCGTTGCCGAACTTATGGGACACACTGTATATATATATATATATATATATATATATATATATGTACCGTGAGAGAATATATATTTAACAATAATATATACTAAAAGCTCAATAAAATAGAATAAAAAATACTTTTGCATCCTAAAAGGGACAATTTTTTCTATTCCTTTTTCACCGTTATTCTTACAATAAATACGTAAATAAAACAGACATTACCCTTGAACCAACATGACCCGATCTCCATTACATTAACCGACATTAACGAACATAGTAATTCGAGTGACCGTCAGTCAACAGTCATTCACGTTAACGTTTACGCGCTGCATACAATGCAGCAGTCGGGATGTCACAGAACGATTGTCGTGTCATCACGTCGCGATAACTCGACGTGTATCCTATCTCGACGCACGGTCGTCACGGCTCGCGATCATTTTGCAGAACGTCACGCTGATGGGACAGTTTTGCAAGGACGACATACCGCGGCTCTGCGACCATAGTCTGCTGCGCAACAGCAGCCGGCATACGCGGCCTTGCAGCCTCGCGGAGAGCTATGTGTCGACCGGCAGGGACCTCACCCTGGAGCACATACTGCGCCAGGGTAGCGCACTCTATCCGATCAGTTTCGTGCTGCGTTACGAGTTCGTGCACGAGGCGATTTCGTGCAACCATGTGTTCGCCTCGTCGTCATCGTCGATCTCGACCGCGTCTTCCGCGTCGTCCCTGTCCTCTTTGTCATCCTTCAACGCCGGCAAATTCGCGTCGCCCAAGAGCGTGTTTTTCTATGGCCGCGGCGGCGCGCAGAATCTCAGCTGCGTGTACAGATTCGAGGCCGATCCCGATCACCGGATAGAGCTGTCCTTCGTCAGGGCGTCGTTCGGCGGCAAGATCTGTGCGTCTTACGTGGACCCGCTGGTGAATCGATGGACGTGCGACCGTCGCATGGCGGACGTTAGAAAGTTTGGCTTGGCGGACCTCGTCGTCGCCGAGTACCCTTGGCAAGGAGTTGAACTCGTACGTACAGAGTTATAAGATTTCTCTATCCTTCTTAACCCTCTGCTGACAACGTTGGGGTCGGATCCGACCCCAAACGCGTTACTGGATATGTTCCGCAACTTCATGTTATTAGCAGAGAATTAATCGAGTTTGGCCAATCTGAATCTTTGTTCATCTAAAATATTGAATTTTATAATAATTGACGGTAGTGTTTATCGGTATTTAAGTAAAATTTTCTCGATGATCATCCAGATGAAGAAATGGAATCATCTTTATCTTTATCTAGATGAAAAATATACGAAATGTATTTATCTTCATTTCATTCATCTTTTTATTCATGAGAAAAGTGGTTTCAGTCAAATTGTCTAAAAATTGGATATGTGTAGTTTTTGACTTTCTGACCATAAATTCCATGGATAAAACCTTCGAATGTGGATACATTTTTTTACTACAGATATTTGAAAGCGACAATATTAGATCCATGTACGTTGAAGATCTATTGATTAATTCGAGATTGCATGTGGAAATATGCGTGTATGTTGGTGAGTGTGCGTATATGTGTATGTGTGTGTGTTTATGGGTGCGTGCATGCGTACGTTTGCGTATGTATGTTATGTACGACTTTGATGTTCATCACTCTTTGCGTTATCCAGAAATTTAATATTGCCATTTTCGAAGTAACCTGCGATGAAAAAATCTACTATGTTCGAAGATTTTGTCCATGAAATTTATGATCAGGGGATCAAAAACTATAACATATTCAATTTGTAGACAATTTAACTGAAACCACTTTTCCCATATGTTTTGTGCGGGATTCTTTCTATCAGATCTTTTTATGTAGGGCAAATGTTAATACCAAGCAGGCTAATAAAAGTTATACGCTGATCTTCGTGTAGAAATTACGTGTAAAATATATAACATATAAAGTATATACATGATGATATGCTCTGTGTAATTATAATTGCATTTGAAAATTTAATCATGTAGCTCCAATAGAGAATGAAATGAGTTAAAAGGTATATGCATCTGGAATTAGATTTGCTCAGAATATCTTTAGTTATTTAATCATCAATTGAATAAAAGAAATGGAGATCAGCGTGACAGTGGATATGTTAATTCTTTATTTTACTTTACTATTTCTGTCCTTATACAACTATTACATCAGTTTGGAAACGTAGCTCTATAGAAAGAAAGATTTGAATTTTTTCCGAACTACTGTACGGTCGTTTTAAAAATATTCACAAAAAAATATTCACCGTTGTCATATCTCATTGATAGGCTCGCGACTGCCTGTGCTCGAACGTGTCTGAAAGGATCGTCGTGCGGACGCTGACGTCAAACGTGGTGGAGGTGAGATTCACCGTCACGCTCATGAACGTCACCCAGGACTATCGGGACTTCTTCTTCGAGGGAGAGTACCGTTTCGTGCCGGTAGGCGCCGAGTCCAACGAGCATGGTTGTTCTACGAGACTCGAGGAGCGACGGCTACGCGGCACCAGTGGCGAGATCTCCCTCAGGAGTCCGTTGCCACGGGTGATCCCCGGCGTGGCGGCGGTGGAGGAGATTCTGACGAACACGGAGGACCTCACGGCGACGCAATGCGTGAACGAGCCGTGGCTGATCGAGCCCGAGGACGCGCGTATCAATTTCCTCTACTTGAGAACTGCCGGCTACAGCATCACCTTGGACAACGTCGAAGATTGCACGACCTTGAACCGAATCGTCGTGTACTCAGCCGCGAACACAAAGGACCGCAGTGTGATATGCCCAGAGGGCGGCGTAGACACCGCCAAGACCGTCGACTTCTTCTCCGGCGGCTGGAATTACAGCGCCGTGAACGCGAGCGTGGCGATGGCGCAGCACTCCCGCAGCTTCGTCGTGGAGTTCTTGCAGCGGGAGCCCGGCTTCTACGCAGTCACGTGGATCGCTATCTCCAAGCGTTCGCCGGCCGCGTCCAACATGGGTGCCAACGCGTTCACCATATTACCCATGGAAGACTGTCCGTACAGGTTGGTTCTGCGATTTTTGTAATATGAAACTACGCAAAAGACAACAGCATATTTCTAAATATCTTTAAAATCTAAAACTTGAAGTTTTAAAGTTTAAAATAAGGAACCAGCTTTTTAACATTTTTGCTGCTCTCTTTTGAACATGTCGAATGAAAATACAACAATAATAATAAATTTTTGTTTTAAGTAACGCTTGTTGCATAGAAGACGTTAAAAAACATATAATAATAAATAAATTAATTAATAGAATATATATAAATATTCCACATTAAAAATATACTTTTTATAAAAATATATATTTTTTATAAAAAAATATATATTGTTTTTCTAAAAAAATATAATTATAATATAAATATTTTTATAAAAAAATATATATTGTTTTTCAATAAAAAATAGTCTCATAAATGAAACATTAGCACTTTTAGTTTAACACTTGAATAACTGATGAAGTCATTTTAACTCCTCTCTCTCTCTCTCT